GTTTTAAGTAAATCACCAGTCCTTGAAAATTTCTATTAAACCTTTGTATCTTATCTTTTATCAAACAAATTTGAAAATGTCGATTTTATAATCGTATTCTACGATGTCTGGTATTCGATATTATATGATGTCTGAAAAAAAAGAAACTTGTCGAAAAGCATGCATTTTATCAGAATAATGGCTGTTCTACAATGTGCTTTTTGTTTTCTATTTCTTGCTGTTTGTCTCTTGCCTTCTTGATCAAAAAGACAAGAGACAAACAGAGACAAACAGCAAGAAACAGGAAACAAGAAGCACATTGTAGAACAGCCGTAAGAATTACGTATGAAACCATTCTTCGAAATTAATTAGTATAACAAAATATAAAAATCGAATGATATCAAATTTCTTTTCAATACCCGGATCTTCAATTTTATCCTCCCTAAGGCTTTATGGTCTTTATTGTGATTTTGTATGTGAGTACAATGTAACCGACTTTTTTACTGCTTATGTCTTATATTACCTTACATTTTTCTGTACGCCATGTGGCATACAGAAAAATTCGTTGTTATCGTCTTATATTCTCTTCATTATTTTTAAGTTCAATGAGATTGACTGAATTTAAGATTCCATCGAAGAGTACGTAACACTTATAAGTATGCAGTATATTCTCTAAAATGTTTCGAATAAACTTCACTCTGTAGAATAAAATAAGATTAAAATTGAGCTACTTTTTTTCAAGATTGGCACAATTTTCACTTTTTATAGAGTCCCACTCCAACGAATTTAGAAAGCAGAATTCTAAAATCCTAATCCTCGTTGCGAGGCCTGCAGTGGAAGAACAGATGCACTTGCTTCGTCACACCGCTATACCCTTCTCTCTCGCTTCCTCGACGATTGTTTTCGTCGACGACGTCGTCATCGACTGAGCATGCCGTAAGAATAAGAACACGTACGTGTGTATGCATTCGCGCAGGCATGAATTAATGTCGCGCATACCGATGTCGGGAGAGAGCGGATAACGGGTGGCCCGTGACACGTGAGTCTCCGACATCGTATGTAATATATTAACACGTGGTAACGTGACCGTCGTTAAGCAATACGTTTATTTTTCTACTGTCATCTTCGTAAGTCCAATCGAACGAACGTGAGAGGATCGGAGTGGATCGGAGTTACGGTCGACGGAACTTAAGACTTGTTATCGTAGCTCGAACTTATTCGTCACGATGTTGATTGTCTCAATGAAATCCTAGGCTCAGTCATTAATCGTAAATATAACAATAACAATACAGCGAGAATAAAAGACGAAATCGAAGAATAGAATACATATTGTCGAAGAATCTTAGACTGTCCGAATCTGATTATTGATTGAAATATATGTATACACCCGTGCTTGATTGTGCGGTTCATTATGGGGAAGAGGAAGTCACTACGGATATTTGTAGAAAAAAAATACATATCTATTACATTTTGTATAGAGGAAGGTCACCGATACCGACATACCACTTTGTCTTTAGACAATATTTCTTAAACAAAAGGTAAAAATACAACTTCAAAAACATAAATACAAAGTAAAAAGTGTCTTCTATCAGATAGTATAAGTAATTTTTATAATACTGTTTGTAATTTTGCAATAATTAAGTTTTTCGTAAGTTATGCAAAAATGAGCGTCTATCAAAATGGGCTCCAAAAGTGATATAGTAGGCAATAATACCAACATTTCTATTCTAGAAATAAAGATATATCCTATTCTGTAAAGAAAACTAATTTATGAAACTATAAACATTTAAAATGACATTTAATATTATCAGTAATATAGTCACTATTATTTTAATTACGCAATTTGCAAAAGAACACCGTAAGAATTTTCTTCTCGGATTCATAGAATTGGTTTTTAGCTGATTTGGTATAGAAATAAGCCACAAATATATGAATTACGAGTTTGTACTTCTTTAATTAACTAAACAGATCATGATTTTATTAGTATTAATAAAGTGCAATAGTTAGTTTCTGAGAAATAAGGGGGTGTCACTTTAAGAAACCTATGTCAGTATCGGTGACTTTCCTCTACATATTGTACACGTTAATTCGTATATCTACATATTTTGTATACATTTGTATATGTTTTTTCATTTCTTTTCGTTTATAACGTGCAAAAAGTTTTTACGTTACATAAACCGAGTACTCCCGCGTGATAAAATCTCGTCGCAATCTGTCGATAATACCCGTAATTTGCAAATGATGCACCGAGCAGATATAATTGAGGTAGAGGCAGAGCCGCAACGAATCGTTTTGTGGCTCTTTCCTAAGATAATGTAGAAACAGAAAACGAGAAAAAGAAAGAAAGAGAGAGAGAGAGAGAGAGAGAGAGAGAGAGAGAGAGAGAGAGAAAGAGAGAGAGAACAATTAAAAAACAGTTCGGCCGGAATCAGATTATGCATTGAAGATTAATTGAGTTTGAAGATTAAAGATTGAAATTTCACCAATGAGGACAAAGAAATTCTGGCTCCTTTTGTTCTGATTGGTCAAACTTCAATCTCATTCTTCAATGCGTAGTCTAATTCCGGCCTTATTAAAGACCTTGTACCAATTTCCACGAAGATTTCGGACGAAGCGTAATCGTGGTACATGATCGATGGCTGCGTGCTCTACGCTACACGCACGCAGCAAAAAGATTGAAAAGACTCGAGCGTGCGCGCCCATACGTCGCGACACGCACGTCCAAAAATATACACGGCTCTCCTCGGCCGACGAGTTGAATCCGTCGCGCGCGCGATACGTACTCTCTTTTTTCTCTTCTCTTCCCCGGCCGACACTTCGCCAAGGGAGTGAAGGAAGTCATCTCTGCCCTCTCCACGTCACTCCACGTCTCCGCGCGCGCTACAGATGCGCTCTATCATAATAATCGCTATTTCGGGCCGGAGGGTCGGCTGCTGGTCGCGTTGTTGCGGCAGATGTTCCCCTCGTTCTCTACGAGCTAAAAAGCCTTCGAGTAGGGGAAGGTCGAGCTCCGAATACATGCCGCGCTCGAATGAGACGAATGGGCAAATAGAGCTAGACACGTCTAAAAGCCGTGGGACTGCTACATCGCGGGTGGGAAGAGAGAGAGAGGAAGAAAAAGAGGAAAAAACAAGGCGAGAGAATGATTAAGGGAAGATGGAGCGAGAGGAAAGAGAGAAACCTTCCTGGTATATTATGATTACTGGTTATTAAATGAAAAGACCAACGCGAGCACATCCGAGCCGCGTTCTTCTTCTCTGATAATGCCCAAAGTAACAACTTATGGTATTTAGGCGGTGAAAAGTAGACTGCGGTTTACGCTTATAATGCTCGAACATCATTTGTTTTTGTTTAATATTTGATAAACAATATAAGGATGAAAAAATGATTCTAAAGGCCTGTATTCGTAGTCGATTATTATTTGATGATCATTTGATAATCATAGTTTCATAAATCTTTAATATTATTCGTTAATTTTTATAAGGATTCATAATCCTAAAATATTATTTAATTCATGAAACGATTTAGGAAATACTTGTTATTTCGATAATTTTAGATTGATAAAATCGTAGATTTTAATAATCATTATTTATTTCGATGATAAACTCTGTATACTGGAGCATTTTACGAGCATTTAATATGTCATTTTTTATATCTTTAATCATTTACTGGTACGTATGTCATTACCCATAAAAAATTATTAAGTAATTAGATTTTGGATAGATATTTTTAAAATAATTATTATATCTAATGTTAAATGAAATGTCAAAAAAATCGGTCATTAATTATCAAAACCTTATTTGATTTTGTAATTTAATTATTATTATTATTTAAACTAATAATTAAGATTAGAGAATGAATCGCGTTTAATAATAACAGATTTTTCAAACACAGAGATTTAAAATAAAAATCTGTGAAATCGAAAATATGAATCTGTAACTAATTATATTCTCAATCAAAGATAAAAAATTATTCGCGATTATATGAATTCCGACCCGAGTATCTATCATGGAACATGTCAGAATGAATTCCGATCGGAATTATTCCGTTTTCCTTAGAAAACACAATAGAAATCGAGGGAATAATTGAATAATTCTGATCGGAATCTATTCCGACTTGTTCCATGATAATGATAGGTGCCCTGAATGGGAACGCAACCGAAATATGTATGAGCACAAATATATGTACATATTATTCGCCATCGAGAAAGAAAAAAAAGATCGCTGTTGGATGATCTCAAGAGAATTTGAAATCGAAGCAACTCGAGTCTCCTTCGGATCTGGTTACGCTCCAGCTTGCAACCCAACTAATTACGATGCACGTCGTATACTTACCATATTGTTTTCTAGATCACAAACGGGGCATACGCGCACAAAGGGAGAAGGGCTTGCCTATGACACAGATACGAAAGCCGATCAACCATACGCGCTAATAAACTGTTAATAATAGTCAATGAGACTAGCCGTCAGAGATCGATATCTTAATTACTATACTTTTCTTTTTTTCTTTTTACTATATATAATCTCCACGAAGAGATAACCGTGCCTCTTTATACTGGAAGTATTTTGTGTTGTTTATTGATATCTTTAATTATCAAGAAAACATTGACGGATGCGATAGAAAAATGACGTGATAAAGCAACGTTTCAGATAATCGAAAAGATATAATATCGCGACAACTTGTTATCATTAATATATTACCGGTACATACGATGACAATATAACTATATTGCTGTGTGTTGTTACTCCGTTCTACATTTTACGCGATACGAATATCTTTACAATTTGGTATGTCATATTTAATACACTGAAAATTTTTCTAAGATACTTTCGAATGGAGAGTAACTCTCATAGAAGCTGCTCATGCAGATCTTCTGCCTCGTCATATGGCTGTCCCGTGATTCTCGTAAAGCTCAGAGGTAAATTTTCTCCGACGGTTAATTTAACTCTCAACAAAATTTACGATCGCATCGATCCAGGTTTTTTTTTCCTTCCTCATAGAGTGGGAAGTTGCGGACTCCCTCGATGATGCGGAAATTTCTTAAGGCTTCGCGCGAAGGCAAGCGTCTAGCGAAGTCTTCGTAATACCTTGCCTTACGGGAGGCCCCACAATTGTGCAACTATGTTGTTATGACGATGATGATGCAAGGCCAAACGTCCTAAATCGCACAACACCTGCTTATAAGGTCACTGTGCTCTCGAGAGATATTATCGAACCGTTTGTGATTATTTTTAGCCGATGCGTCGTATTTGTGTCATGCATAATATGTATTATGTCACGCTTTATTATATATATTAAAATTTATATCACGCGCGCTCTGAAAACTGTTACACCTCAAATCATCAAATTATCAAATTATTTATCGCGATATATTCTTAACCGTAAAGCTAGATCATCGTTTAAAATTATAACTTCGATATAAAGTATACTTTTAATTATACTATTACTATTTCTACTACGTGTAGTATCTTCTGGCTTTCACTCGTTTCTCCATTCTAGCGTGTCGTGTTGATTACATAGCAAATATGAGTAATGGGAATAGCGCAAGAGGAGAAGTGGTAATTAACCGAGAGAAACCAATGCATAAAATAAACTGTATTATAATGATAATATACTTTAAACATTGAAAATGTTTTAATGTTTCCTTGTACGATTCTTTTGACCTTTATTTCTTTTTCTGCCATTTTTTTGGCGTTTTTTCTCCAGAAGTTTGCGTGCCTTCAAGATTTGTTCGGGTCGCTTCAGCTCGCTCTTTATTTTAATCTTGTCTTTAAGCTTCTGGTTGTGCCGCGCCCAATGCGTATTTACAGTAGTTCGTACTGAAACACGTAAATAAAGTACGTCAATTATTTTAATGAGCGATATTTTTTTAGAACAAATTGAATGAACGGAAAGAAAAATTTATTTAAAAAATGTTTTTAGATGCATCAATTAAATATATGTACGTTATTTAGATTAGATTTAAATTTAATATATTTTTACAATTAATACGATCATGTTAACTCACAATTTTTCTGTTGTGAAGGTTCTTCCTCACTATCATCTTCGCTATCGTTTTCATCGATTTTACTCTTCTCTTTCCACACATTATAACGATTTGTTTTATATGTAGCAGGTATCCATACTCCCGATTCAGTACGTATTTTTTTCGTCTTCGAGTCCTGTTGATACAATGTAGAATATATGTATATTCATGTTTCATGATAAATAAAGACGATGCATAAGTTAATGTACATACCCTCTCGACGGTGACCATCTTCTTTCTTTTCCTATCCCACTTTTTCAGTTGCGTTTGAAGATGGTGACCGTCTTCATTATCTGCTGTTAAATCCATCTGCGCCTTATCAGCTTCAGTGGCAAATGTGTTAACTGCTAAACTGCAAACCAAATAAACGTAGAATATAAATAATGATAGAAAATTAAAAATATTTTTTAAATTGCATATTTAAAAAGAAAAAATTTAAATTATTAATATATTTTTTAATGAATTAAAATATATATTTATAATAATTTTAATTCTTTTGTAATAAAAAAAAGTTATGAAAATCGAAATATATTCTTTTCGCGATTCTTACCCATCCTCTGTATGTTTATCTGGTGCAGAATAAGGTATATAATATTCTTCATCCCGTTTCGTTAAACGTTTCTTCTTCTTTGAAAGTTTGTATAAATCGTCACTAGTTCTTTTCTTTGGAACTACCACTGTTCTGAATGCAGCATTAATTTCTTCCGTGTTGCTGGATGGTAGTTCGACTTTTTGAGATAATTCTACAAAAATTAAAAAGCTTAACGTAAATATTGTCATATACAGTATTTAAGCATATACTGCTATCATAACATCTACCTGATGCCGTATTAATTTTATCGGTTTTATGTTCTTCCATCTTTTTACGGAAATTAAGAATATTTTCCTTGTGAAACATTCGTTTTGCTTTCATCACTTGATAATCAGTTGAATTTGTTTTCGTACCAATTTCAAATATCGTCTGTTACAAAATTTAGATATTAAAATTGAAGCATAACATTTTATTATATATATAAGGCGTCATACTCACTCCCTGCGGTCTATAGTTTTTCATCCTGGATATTATATCCGCTGTATTAATGTGAGAAGCATCAGAATACTGGGGTAAAATTCCGGCTTCATTTATGCGAAGCTCCTTAATTCTTTTGACACTTTCTGTCGAAGCACTTGGTCGCGATCTAACGTATTGCTGATAGGCGTTGTTGCATACTTTTCGCATATTTATCTGAAGAAACACATATTCATTAAATGCAACAAAAAATATTGAATTATACTAATTTATTTATCAACATAAATATGCTCAGTATGCTACCAGATCAGTAGAAGTATTGTGCCAATTTATTAATTCAGCTAATTCTTCCTCTACCATGGCTTGTGGCAATTTTCCGACAGCACATTCCATACTTTCATCGGTTTCTGTAGTTGGCACTATTGTTAAAGGTCGACCAAGAAAGAGATGCAAATCTAAGAGATAAGGATATTCATCCGAGCTCACAATATTATATGCCGTTCCAACACGTCCAGCTCGAGCACATCGCCCTGCAGAGTAAATGTTTATAATCAGTCAAAAGTGCCTGCGTGTTTTAATAATAATTAAGAAACAGTTACGAAAGAACATACCTACTCTGTGTACGAAAAGTTTAGATTTTGCAGGAAAATTAAAATTAATTACATAGTCGAGATGTGGTATATCTATTCCTCTAGCGGCAACATCTGTCACTATGAGAACTCTTACTTTACCGATTTGAAATTTAGCTGCGTTTATTTTACGCGCAGAAGGATCCAGATTTGAATAAATGAAAGTGTTAGATATACCAGCTTTATCTAATATCTACAAAAATTTTATAAGCTATTATTTGATTGCCAAAGTATTTATAGAATTTATAATTTATACATTTAAAAGGCGAGTATGTATGTATGGTGATGATTACCTGATGAATATATTCTACATGATGCATAGTTTCCGCAAATATAATTATTTGCGACTCGGGCTTAATAATTCTTTTTAGTAAGTTTAGAAGTACAGCTAATTTCTCTTCAGGGCGACACGTAATAAAAGATAATGTCAATCCTTCAGGCAGCTTACTCTCAACATCCAAACGAAGTAAAACTGGATCACTTAGACCAGCTTTTGCAAAATCTACTAGAATCTTAGGCAAAGTAGCAGAAAACAATAATGTCTGACGTGATTCTGGTAATCTATTTACAATTTCTTGTATCTGTTCTCCAAAGCCCATTTCAAATAATCTACAATGCAATTATCACTTTATACAAATGCAAATATTAAAAAAACTAACATGAAAAAGAAGAAACTATTACCTATCAGCCTCATCAAAAACAATGTATTCGATATTTTTCAACTGCAGATCCATCTCCACACATATATGCAGAAGTCTACCTGGAGTAGCTACAATGATGTCAGGATTTCCATGAATGGCACTAAACTGATTATCCATACTGTCGCCTCCCAGTATCACTGCTGATTTTAATCCTGTAAATCTTCCTAACTCCTTTATGAACTTTAATGTCTGCAGTGCCAGCTCACGTGTAGGCGATAGTATCAATGCACGTGCACCCGTTTTTGCTTGCCTTGCCTTGAGTTTTTCGAACAGAGGAATTAAAAAGCAAGCAGTCTTTCCGCTACCTGTCCTAGCCATTGCTACTACATCTCTTCCCTCGAGAGCCAATGGTATAGTCTACGAAAAATAAATTTTACATTAATGTTAATCAAGATTTTAAAAAGTTGTAATCTCAAAATGTAAACTATATTTGCTTATAGAATATACATGTTTTTTAACAACCTTTCTTTGTATAGGTGTGGGTATTTTGTATCCACGTTTGAGGATCCCTTTCAGTATTGGAAAACTAAGAGCCATGGATTGAAACCCTCCAGATTTCTTGGAAATCTTCTTTTTAATACTAGCGATTTCATTATCCTCATCATTGTCACTGACCGTATTTGGATCAGCAAATCCAACAAGATCATCATCCTTCATCTTGCTGTAGACTGCAAAAAACAATTTTATGAATATAATGAATAAAATGCTATACTATATATAAATATCTCTCTCAAATTTGTCGTTTCTTGTCAGAGATACAGTGATCTCTTTTATATTTATTCACTAATATAAAGGACCTAGTTTTTAAATACAAGTTCCAAACAGTTTATTAGAAGAGGTATATGACAAGATAGATGGAATGATAAACAGTTATTGTATTAAACAACAGTACTATTATAATATTCAAATTTGATCTCTTAAATTTTGCAAAGAGACAAAAATCAGATAATCTTTGTGATTTATCACTGCTTTCCATGCATGTGCGAGATAATGAAATAAAATCTGATACATTTATATATGTATGTTCTGAATCGATATGAACTCAGATCTTTGGCATAGACTCAGAGAACTGGACATATATTTTAAATACTTTCATTTTACTTGTTTTACAAGCCTATCTTAGTATTTTGTATTTCAGCAGAACACATAAAAGTATTATATGTATATTTTGTATTTAAAATAAAAAAATTAAGTTTTTTTATATTTTTTTTAATTCAAATAATACAATTGATTGTTAATCTTAATATTTGAAATACAAAATACAAAATACTATTATATGCTTCCATGAGATACGAAATACAAAATATATATGTGCTCCGCTTGAAAACAAAATATAATTCTTACAAATACTGTTTTTCAAATAAAAGTATTTCAAAGACATGCCCAACTCTAGGCACAGAGAGCAGTCACGTAATTCTCTGTGCCACAATCGCCACAAACATAAGTAATATGTATACTGTACCAATTTAACATATTTTATTAAATCTATATAAATATTATATCTTAAATATTTTTTAATTTTTCTTAAATTAATCAATACTCTTATAATATGCTGTAAATATATTTTTAAAAATTATGTATAATCTTACTTTTAAAATCTTGATTTAGTTATAAATCTAAATTCATCAAACGTCACATGGAAAAGGACTGTAATCTCACATAACCTCAAAAATGAATGGAAACGTGCCAGGTGCCTCGCATACGATGTTATGGCGGCTTTCCATAAAACCACGAACGTACCGGAAACGTGTCGGTTGAGGGGATCCTAAAATCATTTGTATTACCGACTATCAACGTAATAATTGTAAAACAATTACTTTCTTCCTCTTTTATAGATTTGAAAATTCTTTTCCAGAATTAAAGTATACTGATTAATACTGCAATTTGTTTCGGTTTGTTTATGGAGCAGTGCGGGGTACATACGAGTGTGTGTGAGGTTTTCGACATCACTTGATTGCACTTTCGTTGATCGCGGAGCCGCGGGCCATCGGCAAGATTGGCATCGCCAGGAATCGGCTTCACCTAGACAGGTGCCAACATAAAACCAAGAAGGAAAGCTTTTCACATTTGTTAACATTAAAAATATACTTTTCTTTCACAGAGCGTTACAAATAGAAGTAAAAAATGCCGCGAATTATGATAAAGGGTGGTGTCTGGCGGAATACAGAGGTAAATGATATATGATATTTTCTAACCTAAAGATTTATGTATGTGCATGTTGTATGAATAATTTTGTTAAATGAAAAAATTCATTGTTTTTAGGATGAGATTTTGAAAGCGGCTGTAATGAAATATGGAAAAAACCAATGGAGCCGTATAGCATCTTTATTGCATAGAAAATCAGCCAAACAGTGCAAAGCCCGTTGGTTTGAATGGCTGGATCCCAGCATAAAGAAAACTGAATGGAGTCGGGAAGAAGACGAAAAGCTTCTCCATCTTGCAAAATTGATGCCCACACAGTGGCGTACAATTGCGCCAATCATTGGTCGAACAGCTGCCCAATGTTTAGAAAGATATGAATATTTACTGTGAGCAACATCAGGCTTTATTTGAGTTAGGCCTATTCCTACCAATGTGGTTTAATTTTAATCTCAATTCAACAAATTCTTCATCTTTCTAGTTCTAAGACTTAGAAAAAGATGAAGAGTAAGTTGAACCAAGATTAAAGTTAATCTATATTGATAGAAATGGACATTAAACGATTTGTTCTAATCAATATATTCTTGCGCTACTATTGAATGAATTATTTCAGTGATCAAGCACAAAAGAAGGAAGAAGGAGATGATGCTGTAGATGATCCTCGTAAACTTAAACCTGGTGAAATCGATCCTAATCCTGAAACCAAACCAGCGAGACCAGATCCTAAAGATATGGATGAGGATGGTAGGTTAAGGTTTATTGATAAGATTTAATGAAGATTTAATAAGGTAATTAAAGATATTAGTTGTTTTCCATTTATATATACATTATAACTCGGATATATCCAATTTATGATGTCATAATTCAGTTAAATGCACATTCTTTTTCATTCTAAAACCTAAGTGATTTTCAACTAAATTTTTATCTATAAAATCTGCACAAACTCAAAATGTGTGCTTTACCGAGTCTTGTTAACTCACATTAAAAGTGAGATTTTAAAACCTGTATTGTTATGTGATAACTTTGTCACCAAAGTAAGCAAGTAATGACATTATCCGAGTATAAAATACATAACTTTAAACTCAGTCATCATTTATGTGAAAATGGAAAGCTAACTGTTATATTAATACATTTATCACATATTTTACATTAGAACCGATTATCTATAACAAAGCAACTGTAAATTTTCAATGATTGTATTTGTTCATAGAATTGGAAATGTTGTCTGAGGCACGTGCTAGGCTAGCAAATACTCAGGGCAAGAAGGCTAAACGTAAAGCACGTGAAAAACAATTGGAAGAGGCACGCAGACTCGCAGCTTTACAGAAGCGTAGAGAATTAAGAGCTGCTGGTATTACTGTGTCTCAAAAGAACAAACGCAAACGCGGTGTCAATTATAATACAGAGATACCATTTGAAAAACGACCTGCATCAGGTTTCTATGACACCTCTAATGAGTATGTTGATCCTTTGGCGATTGATTTTTCCAGAATGAGACAACAACACCTAGATGGTGAACTTCGACAAGAAAAAGAGGAGATGGAGCGCAGAAAAGATAAACAGAAATTGAAACAGCGCAAAGAAAATGATATACCTATGGGTATGCTCAACAATGAAGAGCCTATAAAGAAAAGGAGTAAATTAGTCTTACCAGAACCACAGATCTCTGATCAAGAATTGCAACAAGTCGTGAAGCTTGGTAGAGCTTCGGAAGTATGTCCTTTAATTAACTTTTTTTATACTGGAAATTATGGGTTTATTTTTTATTTCTGCATTATTTATCGCTTAATACTGTCATGTGTATCTATAATTGAATATGGGTCTAAGATGTCGCGTATATCAATTTCAACACATATTTCTTATTTATTGTTATTTGTATATATAAGTCGAAAACACAATTTTATATATTGTGAATTTTGTGAAGAAGACTATTAATCTAGAAATTTTTATTTAAAAAAAAATTGTTTTATCGAAAAATTTATTTTAATGCGAAAAATTTATTTAAATTATATTATTTATTTAAATTATATTATAAAAACGAATTAATGGCGATGACAAATATGTATTTACAAATATGCATATTTACATTTATGTAGGTGGCACAGGGATGATATTTATTCCCAACGCCACTTATATTTTTTACATTGACCAAACATCCAAATATTTTGAAAATCATTAAATTAAATTTTTTATATACCAACTTATTTTGTGAGAGTTAGGCATAAAGTACTAGTGTGTCAAGAAATCGATTAAAAATCCATGTGGCAAAATATTAATATATTGTTATAGGTTGCACGAGAAGTTGCTACTGAGAGCGGTATTACACTCTCCGACAGTTTATTGGCTGATTATTCTTTGCCTACAAATGCATCAGCAACACCTCGTACTCCAGCTGTTACAGACAGAATATTGCAAGAAGCTCAAAATGTCATGGCTCTTACGCACGTGGACACACCATTAAAAGGTTAAAATATAATTGTAAAACTTTACACTTGAACACGTTGTTAAACTATACTCTATTTGACATGTGCATAAATATTTTCTTTTAGGCGGGTTGAACACTCCACTGAATAATCCCGATTTTACTGGCGTTGTGCCTCCTACCAATGTGATCGCAACGCCGAATACAATTTTGGCTACTCCATTTAGATCTCAACGCAGCGATGGAACACCTGTGAATTCGTTCAACACGCCAGGCGGAGCATCAACACGAACGCAAAATGGAGTTTTAGCGGCAACGCCTGTTCGCGATAAACTTAATATAAATCCAGATGAAAATCTAGACGGTTCAGAAACTCCACTCATACAGACGCAGGCAAGGAACTCGTTGCGCACGGTACTGAGTTCTTTACCAGCACCTTGTAACGATTATGAAATAGATATCTTCGACGGAGAGGTAAACGAGGAAAGCACTAGTGCGCCTGCAACTGATATAATCGAAGACCAAGCGGATATCGATGCGAGACAACAACAAGAATTATTAGAAGAAAGTGAGTCCATTAAAACAATTCGTTGATAGCTTTACATTATAGTCTTGAGTGGGTTTTCCAAACTGATAATTTTATTACAATATTGCTATGTTTATAGATTATAAATCCTTTGCCCAAACTCTTTGATTGAACAATTAATTTTAAATAATGTGGCGGCTCAATTTTTAATTCAATAATAAAACCTAAGAATAAAAATGAATATAATATTTATTTATAATTGAGCCATACGCAGGTTGTTTTTTTTTACCTACAGCCTATGGCTCACCAAAAATACATAATACATTTAGAATAATATCAACAAATAATAGCCCTTTATAGTAATTTTATACATAATTGCAATTTACTTACCAAAAATTGTAATAAAAAGTATTCCTGTATCTTTCAGAGAGTTATATAAAAAACAGTTATAAACTATTCAAAAAATTTGATGGGATAAACTTAAATAACCATAGATTAATTTTATAAATAATTTTATATATATAACAACTTTATATGAAAAAATGCTACGATTAGATAATTTATATTACT